TCCCTCTTAAAATATTGCACAAAGGCGAGCTTATTCCATAGAGGAATGTCTTCAATACAGTATAGACAGTTTTATATAGGCTTACTATATTTACATTACTTCATTTCTGCAAATTGATGTTGTAGTATTTTTGTATCAATGGGTGGAAGATACCGTTGTATTTTATTAGTTCTATATCTCTCAGTATATTCCTTAAATCTCCTTCAAAAAGTCCCTCACTTTGACATCTTACTATACAACCTCAAATGGCGTTGGTTAATTCCGCATAACATTGAAAGTGTTGAATAGATCACTTTGGAAAAACTATATAGTAAAATTTAGGATATACACTCACTACTATATGGTGTGAAAACACGATTCCTAAAAATTTTCCCCACAGTATAAAAACACAAACTCACTTCGAAATTTTACAAGAAAACCCCTGTATTCAATAGGTACTGTACATATAAGTATAATAATTTTATTTAATATCAACTGTACTAAATAGAACCCGTATAGTATACGATATACATTTTTCACATGGATTGAATTTCATTTGTAAAATAATAAATTTTGATATAAAGCCAGCGGCTCAACCCAAAATGAACCGTATTAGGGACACATTTCAATAGTAGTATCGACTCGTACAGGTTAATAATATCTTGATAGGAATTTATGGAGTTACATACGCAGTGGGGATTTATGGTAAAACTGTAACTAGAGGGGACTCTGGAATAATACAGCATACTTCCAATTAACTTTTCTAACAATTCGTGGACAAAACCGAATTCATAAACCAGTACTAATTGCAGCGTTTTTAAATATATTGTTTTTTAATGTGTGAGATAAATAATGCATGTAGCTTCGTAATTTATCTTACACTGATGTAGGGTGACTTACAGGAATTTTCCAAGTACTCACGCGTCAAGCAGTTTTAACAATAGTCGACTGTAAGTCTGGTATTCGTCTTCTCCAAAATCGCCCGGGTGATGACGAGCAAACTCGTATGTATCGCAGAACTGATGGACTAACTTCTGACCCTTGCCGTCTAATGGTGCGGCTAAAGAGGAAAGCAGGAAGGCACGCAGTGACTCTCGAGGATGTCGACGAAGACCGGGATCTTGGCGTGCTATTTCTTCTTCTGAAATTGATTTTTTTTTGCAAATTATTGTATCGGAACAACTTTTGCGAATGTATATCCATATAATCTCTGCCTGTCCTACAGTGAAACAAGTATGTTGGTACGTTTGAATGTATGTAGAAAAGTAGTACTATTGAGATATTATTTTTTTATGAAATAACTCCACTAGATTTTTGTAACTGCCTATGTGGCCGAACGGCTACCATGCTGAACTGCCACACAGAGGTCCCGGACTAGATTCCCGGGCTGGGAGAAATATTTTTATGGCCTACATTTATTTCTCTCGTGAGTTTGGGTGTAATTTGTAGTTGTATACCTATGTGTCTGACCATGCCACCGGCGATACAGAGTTTCCCTAGCTTTTTTCGACCCGTTGGTTGCGGTGAAGGTTTTAAAATGTCTCACTAGATGTACTAGCGGTTCAGAAAGCCGAAAAATCCAGTACAAAGATCTTTAATAAAAACACACAGGAGAATTTCGATAACTCGATAACTTAACCCGTAGCTCAGTTAAAGAAAATAAAGAAACAAAAAACAAATTTAAAACAGAACACGACCAAAAATTAAGTTGGTGAAGTATAATTATCGAAAGTACTGTAAAGAAAGAGCAACGCAAGGTGTCGAAATAAGTGTTACGAAAGAATAATGCAATATAAACAAAGGTAATTTTTGACCAATTGAATGGTCGGAATAGGGTGTTCCAAATCAGTACCTATATAAATGTATAGATACAGTGACATGGAGTGATTAAAACCATCAAATATCAATTAGTTACCTCTTCGAATCCGTAGTGCAATTTAATAAAATTCTTAGGGAGGTGGCGCCAGTGACCAACAAGCACTGGTGTTCGATATCGTTTTTTTTTGTTAATCTATTTTTATTGAGGCTTTAGCCACCTTGAGTGATGTCAGCCTCATGGGAGGAATACTGGGTTCCCTACTGAAGGGACATGTTCAAAAACTTGTACAAGTTTACAGCGCCAACCAAGTTACCGTTACATTCCACCAATATATGATACAGATCCTCCATTTTATTGCAAGTACTGGACACACTTTACACAATGGGGATGGTTTAAAAACCATCCATCCAACCATATGAAAGAATTTATTAGTTGGAATGTGACCAGAACACAGTCTAAAAGCCGATACAAGATATTTCCTTGCTATATTGACAGATTCAGGGTACCCACTGTGGATTACTCTGAATGGTTCTGTACCATATTCCAAGGCATTTTTAATTTGTAATAAGATTTAGTATAACATTTTCTATCATAATAACACGTTTTTTTATTGGTAAAGTTTAGCCACTGGGTGTTCTTTATTGGTGAGTGTCGATAATTGGTTATTTAATTAGTAGATTTTTGATGTACATTACTGGAGATTTAGGGCGCGTTGCCATTATGTCGTGACGACAGATATTCGTGCAGTTTAAAGTGTCGTGTCTTGTATATTTAAATGAAGTTGTTCACAAACAACACGATTAAATGTGGTTCACGACTTTTTTGACGTTACGACGACAGACTGTCGTGATAATTGGATGAGCTACGACGACAGTCGTCCGACAATAAATAAATCGTCACGATAAAAATGTGACGACGTCGCATCTTCAAACGATTCTGTCGTGCAAACGACAAGACGGCTGCCGTGAACCGATAAATTGTCGTCACGATGTAGTGGGAACAGTTACACACGACAGTTATTCAACGATAAAATAAACGTCACGACAGATAGTCGTGATATGGGAACAGGCTAGAAGCGACGTCGTTCAACAATAAATGAAAGGAAATTGTAGTTTAGGCTTTTTGTTTTGTAATAATTATAAGTTTTTCATGGAACATATTATAGCATAATCTGTCTCAAGGATTATATCTGTCAAGTAAACTAATCACTATTAGTATATGTTTAAAATGTCGATTTTTGGTGCCATCACCCCAGATAACAATATATTATAATAATAATATTTATTATATTTATTTAAATAAATAAATAATCTCCGCATAAGTTAAAATAAGCTTTTGCGTGTAGCTCATAAAAATTTTTGCTTTGGTTATATAGGCTAATTATATACTACATTTTTTACCCCCTACAATTACTTTAAAATTCAACTTCCTAGGTGCAGTAAAACTACTTCCGGAGATCCGAAAATCGAAAAATATAATTACTTAATAATTAGTGGTTTTTAACTACTCTATGTCACTCTTTCTTTCTATATGTAGACATATATCTACTCCTTTGACCCTATTCCGATCATTGATCATGACATGCTGCGAACCGTATCTGCCACTACACGTGAAAATGACCTTTCTGTTCTTATTGGTTTCATTTTGATTATGGTTTCATATAAAAAAAAATCCCTAATTGTGAACCTCAACTCCATTGTTGTGGTGGCATAAAGACTATAAACATTATATTTAATTGCTGCATACTGAAAAATAATCAGGAAACAATTTTGCTTACCAAGCGTCTTTACATCATCCACAGCTCGAAATCGATAATGATATGGCTGCTGTGGCTCGAGTATGTAATGCGACGGCTCTACACTCAGCAACCGTGGTTCGTAACATATACGCGGAATTGCTTCTATGCGCCGCTCTATTTCCCTTTTCAGCCTCTAAAATAAAAGAAATAAAGCTTTTAATGAAAAAACTATCAGTTAATTTGCATTTTCCTGATTTTGATAATTATTTTATTTAATAATTATTAGAGTTTAAATGAACTGTATATTCGACATTTGGCCAAATACCGACTATTCGGCCAGGAGTGTGGGCGAATATTCGGCCAATCTATTCGGTCTGATTAACGCATATTGAAAAAGTTGATTTTTCTGCACCATAACCTACCACTTACTAACTTCAATTATGACAAACAAAAATATAATTTAATGTAATTTAAATTTAAGTCATCTGAATGAAGAAAGTTAAGTTTTTTTATTTCACTTCAAGGTCCCAAGTCTGCCAATTATAAGTCATCTCAGTTGTGTGTTGATAGTATCAATGTCAGGATGATGTACGTTTTGTATACTCTTAACTCTGAGCAGAATACCAAACGTACATACAAAATACTGCCATTGACACTCTATCGACACACAACTGAGAGGAAATTACCAGACTTGGGGCCCAGTTTGGTTAAATTTTAAAAACTTAATTCTAGTTTGGGTTACAAATAATAAGTACTTAGTTGAGCTGTTAGCGTTTATTTAGTCATGACTAAACTGTCAATTATAAAAGGGTAGTTTGCATTTAGTTTTTTGCATTTTTTGATCTCTAAAAATAACTTAAATATGTAACATACATTTCCTATGATGTTTTAGAAAATTGCATTAATAAATAAATGTTACATGATACTTTACTGTGTTTTTCTTATTTCTTCCACTTTTTAGGTATTCGGTATTCGGCCACACAGTGATTCAATATTCGGTATTCGGACGAATAGCAAAAAACAGGTCGAATAGTAACCGAATATTCGTTCGTAATTATCATGATGATTATAATTACAGTGAAAATTATCACAGATAATTTGAAGATTATCATTGATTATTTTAAAAATTATATGATCAATATTGATGATGGTTTGAACTGAGAACTACAAATTACCTCAGAATGGAGCCCAACAGATTTAACATATTTTCTTAATTTTGATTGTTTTAATCTCGTCTGGCTGTGATATGTGTTGGCCCAGAAGTGTGTGTATTATATACTTTTGACATACTACATATATTAGCTTAGGAAGTGCAGATATGTGTCTCATCAACATCATGGTACAATAAATAGTCTTTGCTCTCACTAAGTTTTTTTTATCCATGAATCTAACTAGAGTGAGATTTGTCTTGAATATTGACATATTTTTGGCAAACTTTAATTATGTCGGTATGTTAAAATTTATATATATTGTAAAAATACACCAAGTTTTATTGACACGTCATAAATTTGCAGTAAAATAAAAAATCTATTTAAATCAATTTCCTGTAACATGTAGAAGTACAATTGTGTCAGTGTAACACAAAATGAGCGAGAGCGAGAATGCATTCTTTTATATTATGCATGTGAAAGAAGCGAAGAGATTCATGTGAATGAGTAGTGTATCAACAACATGAGTATGGAGTGTTCTGAACTTTCTAGGGACTCAAGGAGGAACTGCATTGAAAAACTGACTTGCTCACTACATTGTATCTGATAGAAACCCTGTTGGTTAGACCTTATCCTATGACTGACATAGACAAAATTAAAATAGAATCTTTGTCCTGCAGAAACGTGCAGTTAGGGCAATTTACAAACTGGGCCCCAAAGTATCTTTGAGAGATAAGTTTAAGGAAATTAACATTCTTACACTAGTCTCACAGTACATTTATGAAAATGTAATTTATGTTAAAAGGAATAGTAATTTATTTATGAAAAATAGTGACAGACATAACATTAATACGAGGAATAGAAATAAACTAGCTTTTCTTGATAGTCGTCTTCACAAAGTCAAAAAATCATTTAAGGGGCAATGTATACGCTTCTATAACAAGATTCCTGTTGATATACAAAATTTGCCTTTCACGAGGCTTAAAACTATAGTGAAACAAAAACTTTATACTAAAGGTTATTATACAACTTCTGCATACTTGGATGACAAAAATCCGTGGTAGTAACCCGTTTAGCTCATGGAGGTAGTCTCGATCTCTGTTTCAAATAAAAAAATAAATATTGTAAATGTTATTTACAAAGAGCAACCCCTAGAGTTTCTTGCTCATTCTTCTCAGGGGAATCTGCTTTACGAATGAGCGGTAGAGTTTAACCATTGTGACGATTTCAAGTGTAATAATGCTTACCTATGAAATAAAGATTATTTAGAATTTGAATTTGAATTTGAAAATAAAATTGTATGGCACATATCTCATTGTATTCTAGACCCAACAGCAATTTTCCTCAATGATACACCTATGATGCCACAAACACAATGGTTATGGTATGTCAAGTAAGTAATAAAAACGGTAATAATACTCACTTTCTTAGCATCAGTACCAATTGGAATGTGAGGGCCTCTGCGGGATCGAAGGGCAAACCTTGTAATTTGCCTTTTAGCGAAAATGAACAAAATTAAACATGTTAACACACCACCACTGATTATAAACACTATGTTTAAGTATTTAAAATCCTGTGACATTGCTATTTCCTTGAGAGTTTATTAGAAAATCTTAAAAATGTTGACGGCAAATCTTTCTCTTCTTCCTTTGCTTAGAGGCTGTGCTTTCTAAGATACTTTAGCTCCATAAAAGATAAATCTCTACTATTCTCCACTCCCACAGAACACTGTTTTGGTTTAGACAATGACTTTATTTTTTTTTCAAATTTTAGGTCACCTTTTTCCTTAGACTATGGAAACTAAAGGACATGTTACGTTGACATATATAAATCAGACGTTATATGTATATGATGCATTTCGTCGTTGAAAACATAAACATATTATTGTCTTTGTTTAACTATTACGTGCCGTCTTAAGCCAAAAGAGATAGCATTACATTGGTCTGTGTCAAACACGGGAATCGAAAATTCGTAACGTCATTTTAAATGCCAACCGTGGCCATTTCAAGTACATGAGGTACATGATACCGTTGTCAAAGGGAAGTACATCAAATGTCAAAACAAATGTTTTTCCAAATGTATTATTGAATTGTTCACATGTATTATAATTAAATTGGACAAAAATATTGACAGTGAGAATAATTAGGTATTAATAAAAATGCGACGCTGCAGCATTAAAGGATACGGCTTTAGAAAAACTGCAAATCAATCGAATGTTACATTGCACAGGCATGTGTTATTTTTTTGTCTATAAATCACACAATAGCCCGAATATTTTATGTAATTAGACTTATTTAAGTAGTTTATTTATAAATCTTGCCAAATTTTGCTTTTGTTACTTTAGATTGCCTGTTTGTTTGTATATTTTGATGATTGTTGTTAACGATTATTTTGAGATAGTGTTGATCTTGTAAGCATACATATTATCGATATTCTGTTATTAAAACAATTCACTATGAGGTTTTTATTGTTTTATTATTATTATTTCAAGTTTTCCTACAAATGAAAAAAGGAAGAAAGAATGGTTGGAAATCATAGGACTGCCGAATATAAACGTTGGATCAAAGACCATCTTCATTTGTTCGCTTCATTTTGAAGAGTCAAATTTTAACAGAACTTTAAATGTAACTAGATTACATGACAATGCTATTCCATCGTTAGGTTTATTGGTATTAGGTTTATTTATTTAGGTTTATTGGTTTACGTTATGTAAATATGTACTAAAATGTAGGTTAAAGGCGTACCTCTTAAAGTAATTTTTATATTTTATTTAGTAAGTACAATTAATACTACGTAATATTAAATACAAGTAAAGTAGGTATAATTAAGCAAGAATGCGCATGTCGCCAACAAACTGCACAGCAGTTTGGTGACTTTTACTAAATAAGTTACCAGTTGTAATGTTGAAAATAATTTTTTTTTGAAGTTTAGAAATGTGTGTTGACATTTATAATAATATACCACTCGAGATTAAATTATCAGACTTGTGTTTGTTTAGGCATACTTTGGATACAGTAAACTAAAGAAACAAAAATTCAAGCCATACATTTGCATGTCGATAATGACTTATCGATAGATTATGGTACAACACTAAAGAAATCCGCCATTTGTAACTTTCAAATTTTGGTAATATGCACGTTGATTCTGTACTTAGGGCAGCTCCTTTCTTTTATTTTTTTCCATCCTCTAAGCCTTTTTCCATCCTAAAAAAAAAATTATACGGCTCTAGCTAATGGCAACTTTGTATTATTTTTACGGCTCTGGAAGCTATGTTTTTGCGCCTAGCGCACAGATTATTTTTAACCACCTTCAAAAAAAGGAGGAGGTTCTCTGTTTTTTCGTATGTATGTTACGCGATAATCGATAATTGCGATCCGATTTTGATGATTCTTTTTTTGTTGGAAAGAGGGTACTTCAGTAGTGGTCCCATTTAAATTTGAAAAAAATATTCCACGTCTAAAGTCTAAGGTCGTATTCTAGAACTCTACTCAATGCTCAAGTCAGGATTTGAGTATGATTCAAAGCACTGGAAATCATACTCAAGTCCTTGCCATTAGGGTCGTATTTCCAGTGCTTGAAATCATACTCAAATCTGCTCAAATCCTGACTTGAGCATTTAGTAGAGTTCTGGAATACGACCCTAAGGGTTTTGAGGTCGATTTTTTAGTACTCTGTACTGTTTTATTAATACGTGGGGCGCACTATAAGTTTCCGGAATCAATAAGAACAAAATACTATAAATGGTCAGTAAGAGTTTATTGTTTCTCTAAATATTTTCCGTTAGCGTTAATGCACTTTTTCATACGAAAAAACCAATTTTGAAAACATTTATGCCACTCCTCCGTAATAATCTCTGAAACATATTTTTCATATCTACTCTTCGACAGCCTCTTCAGGTGATGAAAATCGTTGACCGCGTACCTGATTCTTAATTTTTGGAAATAAATAAAAATCACAAGGTGCCACGTCGGGACTGTATGCGGGATGGCTCATAAGGTCAACGTTGTTCACCTTCAAAAATTCATTAGCCTGTCTTACCGTGTGAGAACAGGCATTATCGTGGCGCAAGATGATACGGCGTTTACGGTTATTTTTACGGAGTTTGTCAATAACTTCCGGCAAGCAAATGGTCGTGTACCAATCACTGCCGTCCCCTTCGCTCCTCTGATACTCTCTTACTTAACTTGCCCTCTCATACCTCTAACTTTTAGTCCAACTCTTTTACCATTTCTGCGATCAGATTGTGGAATTCTCTCCCTGAATCGATTCGACGATCCCCTTCTCTTGATTCCTTCAAACAACGTGTCAAGGATCACTTCCTCAACTCCTAAATTTCGTCTGTCCTCTACTATCCTTTCATTTATTTCCTACATTTGTACTTCATTTTTCTTTTTCTATTAAAAGTATATAAGCATTTAATATTATTGTGTATTTATTGTTATGTATGTATATCTATCTATGGATATGTATATATTTTTGTGTACAATGTAAAAACAAGTGACAGTCAGATGAAACAAACTGTATTCTACAGCCAAGGAGTTCCATTTTTAAATGTTGTAATTACTTTTTAAATATTGTTTATGTAAGTGGCCAGTTCCGGAAACTTATAGTGCGCCTTATGTACAATATGCCGCGCGGTCGCCCTGCTAGCAATGATTTTATTTTAATGAAATATCAGTTTCTTTGTTAATTATTTACTAAATTTCAATACAATTTATTCGTACAATTAAATTGAATTACGAATATGTCTCCGTATTTTACGTATAAGCTGTTCGTATTAGATTTAAATTAAAAGCGTTTATTTCTACATGACTATAGTTTTATCAAAAATTGTTTTAAGTTACATAAATACATAGATCGAAACACGTTTATTCAGTACAAATACAAATAGATCCAAAACATTTACAATCACTTTACAAAGCAGAACACAAAATCACACAGAACATAGATTATTAATTTAATACACATTTTATATAAAACACATAAATACTTACTGTGATTAAAAGAAATACTGTGAGAGAAACAAATAAACAAAAACGTGTAAATAAAATAATAATCTCAGTACAGAGTACTAAAAAAACCGACCTCAAAAGTTCGCGGAATTACATCTATTTGCCAAGTTTTATTGAAATCGGTTACCGGAAAGTGCGCAAACCCGTATTCATCCCCTAGTTCGCCACTATACGGAATTTGACACAGGAGATAATAAAAATCGGTGCTCGCTACTTAAAGTGTATTGAGAGAGAAAAACGCCTTGAATTGGAGAATAGCAAAATCAATCATTAAAATAATTGCTCCTTACAATAAAATTTAGGCGCTATTTATTAAAATTTATTTATTTTATTTATTTATTTATTTTGGCACAGTTACAAGATACAAATTATACAATATACCTAAAACCATAACACTATAACAAAAACAAACAAATTTATATCTCAATAACAACCGCGCACAACATTGAAATAACATTTAAAATTTATATATGGCTATCTAAGTCTTATAAACAATGATATACTTTAAAAGAAAATATTTCACTCTGTGAGGTGTTCGCGTGCTACGGCACAGTCATGGTTCTTTATAATTTTTACGAATGTGTTAGTGCTCTGGTGGAATACATCGAGATCTTTAGATAAGACATTATACTGTCTGCATAGGCGTATAAGAGGACTATTATATGACACATTATTTGCAGTAAAGGGCACCGAAAACAAATGTTGCCTTCGGCTAGACCTATTAGTAGCCTTCAGTGAAACATGGCTTAAGATATCAGGATCTAATTTGGAATTTACTATTTTATGCAACATCACAAGATCAGCTACTCGCCGTCTCACGCAAAGCAAATCTAGTTGAAATCGGTTAAGCCTATCTTTATACGTTACAATTTTTTTTCTTAATCCCATTTTTGAGGCAAGACTACGAACAAAACGTTTCTGTATCGTCTCTATCCTGTTAATATGATTATCATAAATAGGCGACCATATTATGCTACAGTATTCCAAATTCCAATATACTTCTAACTAAACTTACATACAGAATAATTATACTCCGTGTTTGCTTGAAAGGTTTTGTAACTCGATATAGGAAGCCAATTGCCCGCTTTGCTCTTAAAATCATTGAATCGTAGTGTACTCTAAAGGACAGCTTCGAGTCAAACCAAACACCTAAATCCCGAACCACATTTACACGTTCCAGCTGAACTCCCCGTATCATATATGACGACGGGATGTAATTCTTCTTTTTTGTAAATGTGATAAACTGGCATTTGGCTACGTTAAGGGACATATTGTTATCCGCACACCACCGAGCCACCATCAATATCAGCCTGCAATGCGACACAATCATCAACAGAATGTATTCTACGATAAATTTTTATATCGTCCGCAAAGGCTAGGCATTCACACTTGAACTGACTTAGGAGGTCGTTTATAAAAATCAGAAACAGTAAAGGGCCGAGGTTTGATCCTTGTGGCACGCCGGAATTCGCAATAAACGGAGCTGACTCAAAGCCATAAACTGTTACCAGTTGAGTACGATTTTGCAGATAGGAATGAAGCCACCTTAACAGCGAACCGTGAATGCCTAAGCGCTCGGCTTTAACACAAAGTATAGTATGGTCGACACGATCAAAAGCTTTGGCGAAATCAGTATAAACTGAATCCACCTGTCCCCATTGATTAAAGGCACAGGCTAAGTAATGCATGTAAGT